TTTTTTATGGTGATTAAAATTGGACTTAAATAAATACGTAATTATTAGGTCTAAGTGATGACTAAACATAAACATAGAATCGATAAAGATTCGGTTTCCAGTTAAATCAAAAATTTTTTTGGAGATATTAAGCAAAAAAGAAACTGAAAGCCTGTTATTATTAGAAATTGCAGGCTTAAATTTATTGACGTTGTTATCGTTATTGATAATTTTTCAAAATAATAATGCAATAGCAACATTTATAATAGAAAGAATAAATAACTTTGGATTAAATACTGCAATGAATATTGCAATGGTTAATAAAAGAATCAATATGAGTGAAACAAACGAGTAAAGAATCCCTTTAGCGATTCTTCGTAAAAGATTCAGAGTTAAATAAATAAAATATTCTGACAACATTTTGATTAAAATTGATTAGGAGCTGAATGTTTTCATGTTCTTTTTAATATAGTTTGTCATAAATGAGCTTGTTCAAATAAGGAGATATTTGTTTTTATATTATCTTCGCCGTGGTTATTTGGATTACCTATTTTACAAAACATCAAAATGAAACTCCGAATTGTAAAGCTAACATTAAGATGTGCAATATAAACCTTAATATTAAACTTTAATAAAATGTTGATCGTGTGTGTTCTGTTACCCAAATAAAATAGTATATGCATTTAAATACATTAATATTTTATATTTTAAAGAGAATTAAAGGGCTGTATAAAATTAGCTACTATTCTCAGATTCGTTCAGAAATTTATTGTTTAAAAACTGTAAATAAAGGTTTTTAAAATGAACTCTCAAAGAAATACAAGAACAAGGATGATTATTAAAAAGAGTCCAAACCCTTCAAGAAATGCAATAAATGTAAGATTTCATCCTTACGATTTTTATAAATCAAACAACTCTCATTTGATATTGAATAAATCCAAGTACTCCAACACTTATAAAGAATGGAATTGGAAAGTAATCCTAATCCTGGCATTTATTCTTATTTTTGAATTTTTATTTATTTATTTGTAAGTAGGTTTTTATTCGCTCTTTCGGTCGTTTGAAGCCATTATAACAAATTTGTACTGATTTATATTAATTTACTAGAGTAAAAAAAAATCGCACTATTCATATTTATAGAGCCAATTGTACATGAATATTTAAACCAAGAAAGTGGTTATTTTTTAGTAAATTGGTTTTAAATGACTCTTTTAAGATATGAGTTTTATTTTTCTGTGTTATAGATAAAACATATTGACAATTTTTGGGTAAGAATTTTGTTAACTGTTAATCATAGTGATAGGCCTACAGTATCGCTATACAGAATAAGTTTCACAACATATCATTATATATACGTGCATATTTACTGTACTTCAAAGATCTTCAGAAATTTTCTTATTCGTTTCTTGAATGATAAATTTATAAAAAATAAAAAAAAATTTTGACTGAAAATTAATCTTTAGCTCATTCCTTTGAAATAAGTATTTAGAAATGAATTTGATTCATTATTTATATGTCTGAAAAAATTTTTTAATTTTTTAAAGTATGAGTGACAGTGATATAATCGTAGATAATAATCTGTTGAACAAAGATAGCTCTAAAAAGCAAAAAAGTAATGAAGAATACATAGAAACTCAATTAAAAGCTTATATTTCAAGGCTAAAATCAGATGATATTCCAATTGACTTTGGCTTTGAACCAAAATCAACTGATCACGAACAATGATCAACTTATCTTAAAAAAGTAAAACAGAATTCAGAAGAAATGAAGCGTAATGCTGAATGGGCTTATGTAGGTGCATTGATTATTCAAACGCACAAGATGATGCAAATATCAAAAAATAAGACTTTTAAAGATGATGACAAGCGCAAAAAGGATTTAATGACAATTCTAACAAATTCAATCCCGGACGACACATCTGCTATTCAAGCTGGTCGATACAAACAGGTTTATGATCATATCACTGATTTAATATCAAAATTGGAAAAGCAGGAAATTCTTTTTGAGATTTGGTATCTTTTATTAAACAAAGCTGGTATCACCTTTCGTTTTCTATATAATTCAAATTTTAAAAGAAAAAAAAATTTTGAACTCTATGAAGAGTTTATTAATCTATTGGTTTCTGAATGTAAGAAGAGAACTCTAACTAAGGCCACACAAATTTAATGTTTTGTTTTAATAACATGGGTTTTTTAAATAGACCGGCTTTTTTGAAATTTTGGCCCGGCTAAATTATGAAAACAATTAATCAATTTTGCATGGACTAAATAAGTTTCAAGTTTTAAATTTTTAATTTACATTATCATATGGTTATTAATAATTCATAAGCTTATTCCTTCGTTTCGAAGCATATCTATAGATGTTAATTTTTAAGCTAAAATATAAAATTTTCTCTTAATTTAATATTTAAGCTCAAATTAAGACTTAATTTTTTTAAGAATTAACCTTTCTGTCTTTTTTAAAATACGGATGGTTTAAATTTTAACTCATTTTATGTGTACTTTTTTGAATTTATTATCTAATTCATGTAATTTGAGTTTACCGAAATAAAGAAAACTGCAGTATATAATTTTCATTATACTATTAAAGGATTTCTTCTGAAAATATCTCTATTAACTATTCTTAAGTTGTCAACTTTTCCAGCATTAAAATAAATGATACTTTAAAAACAAAAATGCCAAAGCTTTACGATTGATGCCACCAGTATTAGATTTTAAATTATGATCAGTATTAAGTTAATGCTTATCTAATAGCAAACATGATTTATTTTTTTAAACTAATCACTTGAGTTTGGAACTGGTTGAAACCAAGTTTAACCGATTTTAATATAAGGAAGGCAAAACTTGGAGAAATTCTGCCAATCATGAAGGGTACCTGCATATTCAAACAAAAAATTATTGATGAAATTTCAAATCTCGTATTTTGGAAAAACCACACCAATCAGGATCAGCTTATCTGTTTGCTTAAGTTACAAACTACAAAACAATTTACTTGGGAATTTTGCCAATTTGAAAGAAACGGGTTTAGAAAGGAGTCATTTAAACAAAGAAGAATGATTGAATTCTGATCAGTGTAGTTTTTTTATCAGCTTATCTGTGTAAATGTTTGCTTCACTTCATACTAGAGGTGTGATCCGTAAACTAGTAATTAATATAAATAAACTGTAGTTTATTGTAAAACTGTAGTTAACTGTAGTTTTAAAATAAA